CCCTGTTTCCGGCTAGTGGTGTTAAACGGCGGAGTTTTGGAGTTCTTTAGCTCGGCTAGTGGTGTTATGCGGGCTCGGGAAGTGCTAGAGTGGGAGCGGGTTCGGTTGTCCCTCCGGTTGAGGTGGGTTGTTTCGGAGTTTGGTTTGTGTTCGGGTTCGACTTCTTGTATAGGCCTTGTGGCAGTTTTGGGAGCCGTTCCTGAAACTTGGACTAATCTCTGAAATCGACTGTTCTCCACTGGTTAGGCCGACTGATTTGCCTTGGAAGGGTTGTGTGTGTTTTTTTCTTTTTCTTTTATATTGTTATGTGGTAGGTTTGTATTTTGGTTTGGGCGTTTTGCCTGTGTGTCGATATCCTGTATTTTTGGTTTAGGCCGTTGGCCCATGTGAGCCTGAGTGTCAACTTTATTACCTTGTTGGGGCCCGACACTTGGGTATTACCCTGTTGGGGCCTTTGTGTTGTTTTTAGTGTTTTGTCGTGTTTTTAGTGTTTTGTACTGTTTTTGAGTATTACCTCGTTGGGGTCAGTTCTAGGCGGTCTTTTGACCTATCCTCCCACTTTTTCAGCTATTGGCTGCTTGTATTCAGCTGTTGGTTGTCTGTAATCAACTGGTGGCTGCTCTTTGTACATTTGTGCATTTTATATAATATCTCTATCGTTCCGTAAAAAAAAAACAAAAAAAAGTATAATTATAAAACTTATAATTGCTTTTTTTCCTCGAAACGATAGAAAATTTTATAGATAAAAATGTACAAAAGTGCAATGATACAACTCCTAGCTGAATGATACAACTAACACCTGAAAAAACCGGGAGGACGGATCCGGAGACCTCCTAGAACTCTAACAACGCTAGAAACCACACCACAACACTCACGACACAACAAACGCTATAAACACTACAAAGCTCACAAAAATGAGAATTCACGATCCCACTGGGATAATACTCGCTCTTACTCAGGCGAGCTCTGGAAAAAGAGTTGTCTCACTTAAACTTCTATTGTTTCATTAGTTAAAATGAATTAATTTTATTATAAACTATCATATATTTATAAATCTATTACTTTTGCAAAAAGAACCTAAAATTCATCAGCGGTTCAAAAAATGTCAATGTGTCCGGCCAAATTTTATCCACGTCAGATTCTCTCTTGCTGAGTATGAATTCATAAATTACATTGAATTTATAGAGTTGACCTTTGAATCCTTTAAATTGACAATATCAATTCAATTTCAATTTTGCTAAAAAATTACTCATATGAACCCTACATCTGCGGTCCATTTGCAAATCACCGGCATATGGTTGAGCACCACCCTTCATCGGAGATAGCCGTTGTCGACAACATGGCGGTGATGGTGCTCAAGTGTCCCTGTGTCCTCTCCGCCGCCGAATATTTATAGGGTGCCGAAGTTGATGAAGGCGGAGAACGAAGAGGGGACAACGGTCGGAATTTGATGCTTCAGTGCGGCGATGTTAACTGAAGGGCCGAGATTCATGGATGTGGAGGCGCAATTTGATGTACCTAATTTGCTCAAGGGAATGACTGAACGGGATTCTTGTCAGCCCCCCTAGGATGGTGGCGGCACCGTCGAACGACTCGTCGCAAAACTCCCACGCCGAAACTCTGTGAAACTACTTTTAATTATTTTTCATAAAAATGGTTCGGTAAATTGAAAAAAAATAAAAAATTCACTAATTTGAATTTTCTCTTTTCTATTTTATTTTTTAAGTAGATACGAAGCCTATGTTTGGTAGCAAATAAGCTAGCTTATAAGCTCTCTGCCTTCAAATAAGTTTCATTTGGTAGAATGAGCTTTTTTTCAAAGTTCAGGCTTATTTGATAAGCTTCTTTGGGTAGCATTTCAAATAAATTCGTTGAAATTTTTATTTCCGCTAGCTTATAAGCTAATTTTACCAAACAATTTTATTATATAAGCTAGTTTTTCAGCTATAAGTCATAAGCTATAACCTCGAAAATTACTGATAAGCTTAAGCTAGTTTATCAGCTATCACCTATAGCTTATCAACTAGTTTGACCAAACATCGCCGAAAAAAATTCTGGTGCAACTTGAAAATGTAGAAAAAGTAATTGATTGAGGAAATTTGTGTATCAGCTCATTAAGAAGATTCAATTTGAGTTTTACCAAATTAATTTTTAAGGTTTCATTTCGAATTTTTATTTTGGAAAAAAAAAATTGTTCAAATGTAGTTTCAAGATTTAGACATAAAATTTCATAAATTCCAAGTAATTTATGAATTCATACTCAGTAAGAGAGGATCTTACGCAGATAAAATTGGCTGGACAAGCTAGCATTTAATGAATGTCCGACGAATTTTAGGTTGGTCTTGCAAAAGTAAGACGAGATAGAGATTATATTGTAATTATCCAAAAGTTCGGATTAAAATGTCAAAAGTTGAAAGTCAAGGTTTATATAGCAATTACCCTTTAAAGTATTAATGAGTTTATAAGTTAATATTGCATATAAAAATGAAATTAAAGTATATTATTCTCTCAAGTTATTCATAAAATGAAATATAAATGTGTTTACATTAAAATATATTTAGTATAAAATAATCTAAAATAGTAATTAGTAAGTTTATCATTTAATGTTCAAAAATTTAATTCTAAAAATATAAGTAAAAATTATTTCAAGAATCAAGTATATACAATATTAAAATGAGAAACTAATAAGTCATTTGTCAAGTTGCCACTTGAATTACTAGATTACGAAACCAAAATATTTATAATTTTTTTTTATAAATTATTATAAACCAATGAGTCATCTATCAAACTGCAATAGTAAATTATAAGTTCAGAAAGAAAAAATTAAAATATTTATAATATATTACAAAATATAATGACAAACCAGCAGATCATCTGTCAAACATGTAAATTTTGTACTTAGAAAGAAAAAAATATTTATAATATATATTGTTATAAACTATAATAACAAATCAACAAGTCATCTATCGAACAACGATGTAGATTGTTAGCTTAGAAAAAAAAACTCATTATTTTTTATAATGTATATTCCTATAAATTAAAATGATATATCAATCGGTGATTACTGTCGTATAATTTATTAAACTAGAAAAAAAAAATTAAAATATTTATAACATGCTTTTTTATTACAAAATATTAAAGTAATTTATAACGTAAATAAAAATTAATACACTTTATGACTTTAAAATAATATACCATATATTCTTTTTAAATTAATTGCCAGTTTATGATATTTGTCGTAATTTTTCAACTTTACCATCATTTACTTTGGAATCAAAATAATATATTGTAATAAGGTAACGTAAGAGAAGGAGAGAGTGGTACTTTTGTGAGCATTATTTATTAATAACTTTTGAATATGTTAAATTTTCATGTTCTTTAATTAATTCTAAATAAAAACTCTACAATGAAAGCGATTTTATGACGGGTACAATAAATGTATAAATCATATATTAAACTGTTACATTTCATAAATATATTATAAAAGATTAAAAAATAATATTAGTATTGAAACTATTTTATACTAATCAATATTCCTTCATTGATTACATTTATACAATTAATCATTATTGTCTCGTGCATCGCACAAGTTACATACTAATTTTAATAATATACAATTTCAATATTAATATGTAGCACCGCGTGTGCGTAGTACTTAGTACATGTAGATTAAAAAAACATGTTCCCATAAAGGCAAATAATTTTATTTTTTTTTCGAAATGATAGGCTTCATTAATAACACATATTTACAAATTACTGACTAGCCGAATGAATCAGCTAAATAGTTGAATTCATGCTATGCAGCCAATAGTTGGCTCAATAGTGGAACCAGTCTTCTATATACAACAAGTAAATCATACCATATTATTAAAATTATTAGTATTTATTTAAGTAATTAGAAAATATGATATGTTTTACTTGTTGTATATAAATTGGCTCCACTATGGAGCCAACTGTTGGCTTCATAACAAAACTGTTTTAATCAGATTTCTACTTAAAATAACCTAAATACCACAAATCAACACAAATAAAAGAGAGAAAGATTTTTTAAAAAAAAAGCTCCTACAAATGGAAAGTACACTCTCAAATGGAAAAAATAAGCTCATGAGGAGATTCTCACATCCTCACAAAACAAACGCAGCAACTAAACAAAAAACACAATAACTACAATAAAATCCTCCTCAAAAAATACCATACAACAAAGTTAAAAAACAAAAAGAAACTTCGAGCTGTCCCAAGAGAGGGAGGCCGGGTGGGTAGAACGAACGAGACAAGGCCTCAAATTTCGACGAATTTCGTTAAATAACCCACGTTTGGGACAGTCCGTACCACCAACCCAAACCAAACACCCGACATCAAACCCAAGAAGCAAGACCACAGCCCGGACAACAAATTGAGTAAACATTGTTTACCGGTAAACAATTGAACCCAGGAATTTCATCTTGTTTCAAGTCACATAAAAACTAAATATTAAATTAAAGACACAGAAATGAAAACAAATAAATAAAGCAAGCACTAATTTAGCAACAAGTCCATTTTTGTTATGACACAGACAGACTCATATTAAAGCAACAGCAACAGTGTTGGTACTACACTAGTACACTCCATCCTCGGCCCGTACAAGGTTTTTTTTGGTCCAACAATCCAAACGAAAGAATTCAGTGTCTCCATCAAGAATTTTATAGATAAAACATCACATCAATCAATTATATCATAATTCAGAAAAACACCACTCATCCTAATTCTAGCTCTGCACCGTGTTCATATGCCCGTATCTCTGCATCACTCTCCTAGTTGCCAATGCCGCAGCCTCACTCGCACGCAAGGTGCCAGTTGCCATGATTGCCGCAAACTCGCTGCTAATCTCCTCTTGTACTTTGCTCCGAGCATCTCCAAGTGGGTCCCGCTGCTTGACAGGAGGCTTCTCTTGTGTCTCACTGCAAGTGCCCACATTTTTTTTCTCAGCATTTTGTTTGGCAGAATCTTGCTTTGATTTTTCGGCCTCTTTGTTGTTTGTGCTCGTTGATTTGGTAGCAGTTGGTGCCTGACTTGGGCGAGCGGCTGCAGCTGGATTAAATTGAGGCGCCTGGGGCACAGCACCTGCTCTTAAGGTTGTCTCTAATTGTTGAATCATAGGCACTGCAAAAGGGAAATCCACAAGTTTGTTAAGTTATTTTACAATTATGGGAGCTTCAATCATTAAATCAATAAATTCTGTGTGCTTGTATACAAAAATATCTACTCAAAATGAGTTTTTTCGATTAACTAGAGTTACTTTGAAAAAACTGGTATAATTATTTGTTAGTGAAATTTTAATGTTATATTAAAATATATTTAAAATAAAGAAATAATTCAAGTTGATTTGATGTAAAAGTAAGAGATAAGATGTGAAGTGATGGTTAGTTATAATTATGTGAGTAGATGAATAATGAATTAAAATTGATGTGATGTATTAGACTGATTGTTTGGTATTATTTAATTATATTAATAATATTGAAGATAGTGGAGTTTGGTTAAAGTTGAGTTAGATTTTCAGTATGAATTGGATAAATTTATAAACAAAAAAACCTATTAATTTTATTTTCATCAATCAGCCGAGATGGGAGAGCCAATCTTGAAAATATGGTTGAGAGACTTACGCATGAGAGCACCCATTGGGCTGCTCATAACTTCGTTTGGGAGATTCAGAATGTAGTCCGGTATAGTAGCACCGACCAGAAACTGGGCAACCTCATTGCTAAAATTGTTGCAGTTGTGGGTCAGCAAACTGTATGTCTCGGCAGTATATCGGGGGTTAATCTCTTCTAAGTACATTTCAAATACATCTTTCGGAACATGAGTCACGCCAAGATCTACAACTCGGATAGGAGTTCCGTATGGAGTTTTCCCAATTGGATCACTCTGTATGCCACCTCCAAAATAGTATTCACGGCCATATACTACAACTCCAGTATGCCTGATAGAGAAACATTCAAATCAGTACAGGTTGCAAGACTAGAGACCATCTACAACATAATGGAAAAATTTGCAACAGTAGAGTCAGACACATTTTATATTTATTCTCATTCCTACAACATTCCAACTATAAAAATCAAACAACCACCGGAAAAGAAGGCAATGCAATTTAGATATAAAGTTTATTAACATAAGTCAGTCTTTTCACATCATCTTCCATGATTACAAGATATTCGTTCAAATTGAACTAAGATTAGGGAACTCGCAAAGAAATAAACCCTCACCATATTCCTTCAATTGCCTTCCCCAAAAACGTTGTAGACAATTGTCGGGCTAGACCCTGGCTCAAGTCATACACGTTCAAAGAGACCTTGTGACCTTCCTGCAAAAGCACAAAAGTGTTGTAGATTCATGAGTAAGCTGGTTCCTTGTAATTACAACATCATCCATCACGGTTGCAAAATAATAAACATGTACCTCAGCCATCTTTACGAGACCGATCAGACAACTTCAACAGCCAATAAAGTAGAACTTTGTGCTGGGAAGATAGCTGACCTATAAAGCGCGTACAAAATTGTATTTAACAGATGGGTAAGATATTAAAAGTACCAACCAGAACCGAAGAACAATCCAAAGAAGTTTAAACCCACCCATTTGAAGCATACCAAAATATAAGGGAAAAGAAAAACATTTAAGTATCACGCGTACAGCATGAGAAATTCTATCCATTAAACTTGATTTGTATTCAGTCACACACATCAGAAAGTCAATCTCCTACTTGTTACCACCTCTTAGAAGCTGATTTCACTGCTCAAGTGCATGCATGAAATTCCATTACAATTTTAAATTGCATTACTAGATGCAGCACCTAGGTGGGTTGTTAAGGTGGATGGAGGATGGAGTAAGAAATGTAGTTGATGTTTCCACAGGACCACAATTCCTCAGTAACATAATGTGACAACAAACTTTGTTCTTCAATAACATAATCAGACAACTTTGAAACCCACATTGTCTCAAAAATAGTGTGCACAGAGCACCAAGAATCGTACACCAATAAGAAAATATTTATTCAAAAGACCAGAATTTAGCATCATCAACAGCCACATCTCAAATCCTCGGTCGTAAGCAACATTCAAGAAATCACCAATTGAATCACCAAAGGCATAAGACATGAACAAATACTTCCCAACACAAAATCCTAACCTGAAATACCCAGAACCAGAAACTACACTTTCAGATTAACCCCCAATCTTCATAATTGACAATAAGCAAAGGCCAAAGAGTCACATCAAGTCAACACACAATCCCAATACACAAATCTTCACTTCGAAAACAACAATGTCCAACAACAAATTCCCCCTCACCTCGGAAACAATAATGTCCAACAAAATCACCCAATTTGGGTGACAATTCAACCTAAATCCGACAACCTCAAACCCCTCAAACATGCGTGGCAACAGAGTTGGGGAAACAAACACAAAGGACATCTCAGATCAAAGCCCCAAACAAATTTTCTTACAGATATCACATAAACCACAAATCAAGATCCATAAAACCACGCAAAATAACACCAACAAGGAATGCGAAAAGGGCCAACAAGAATCCAGAAAATCCAAGGAAAACAAAATTCAAAAGGGAATTAGAAGAAAATTCTGCATACCAGAGGGAGAGAGAGGAATATCACGAAACCAGCGCAAGTCAAGATTTGCGAGCGTTTATTCTTCTGTTGCGTTAATCTAAATAGAAAATGGAATTGGGAAGGGTATTTATACCGTCTGATGCCCGGGGGAAGATTCCTGCGATGACCTGGAGCTTTCTCTTCCTGCACTTCCAGATTCTTCTATCCAATCATGGACGAACACGTGGCCTGATTCCGTTGTTTGCCCTCCGTGATTCTCTTGTTGATTCGAAGTTTCGGACCGAACATCATCTTTATTAACCGACATTAGTTGTTACCATGCTTGGATTTGAATCAATTAAACCGTTCCAAGATTATCGATCACGTCATTGGATTGATAAGCATACTAGTAAATTAAATTAAAAGTTTTTAAAGTTACTTATTATTTCTAATTATTAAAGTCATTGGATTTATGCTAAGGCTAGTGTGTGTGATTCCGGTCCTGGATATCTCCGGTTCAGAGGTAGTGGCTCCTACGCCGGTTTGTTGGATGGAGTACCTGCAAAAGGGCGTCGGAATTTCTTTCGCACAAAATTCTCCGACGTTAAAGTTAGAATCGAGATGTGGAAGAAGATGAATAGTGAATATGTAACTTACCCCCGCAATTAATGCTTTCATTATATATATAGAAATTTATTCATCGACGGATGCTTTCGGGTTAGGATTGCATACAGAGTCGAGCTGGCTACCGTTCGCGGATATAAACAAGCTCGACATGGAGTCGAACTTAGGGGTATAGTCGATCTAGCTTATCATGGGATCAGTCCTTGAGCTGTAAGCTAACGTGGGATCGGTCCTGAGGGTGTGGCCTGGTTCGATGTGGCTGCTAGATTGGTCCTTACGTGTAAGTCCTTGTGTGAGTGTCTATGTGCGACTATATCAACTACTCCCCTATTTATGAGTGCACGGATATTTCACCCGTGGAGTCATAAATATTCCCGATTCTTAGAGATATATCAGTTGGACATCGTACGGTTACCATATGTCCTAATTATCATTTTTGTATTAGTTGTAGCTTTTTCGGATCTCGAGGTATTATTTCGCATCCCTAGGCACGTTCTACATGCACCGCCGATTGCACTATCCTTAATTTTAGAACTAACGGTTCATGGTGTTGGGCCTTTTTTCTCCCAGGGCTTCATTTGCCAATATATAAACATCCATTTCTTCTTAATTTTAGACTTTTTCTCCTTCTTTCCCATTCTTGGCGGCAACATCCTTTTGCAAAAAGAGAAGCAAAAATTCAGGCGGTGATAAGTCTCCCGACTTCTTGGTCTTAGCCACGTCGATCGACCTCTCTAAGCTATGGGTACGTTTTGAATTCTCGCCTCCTCGTCTTTTTCGTCATTTTGTTTTCGTCGTTCGTTTTCCTTTTTCAAGGCAGTTTCTGTCTCGCAATGTCTGAATCGTCGAGTGTCGTTCGTAGCCTCGACCCAAACCAACCCACCACTGATGGATCTTCAAAATTTTTAAATCGCGATGCCCGCCGAACTCTTAAGCCCGTCGCCGCCAATCGACCCGCTAACCCACGGTCCTCTGAATCTATAGATCTAACCGAGCTATCGTTTGAACCTTTAGCCGAAGCCCATACGCCTTTTCTTGTCGATCAGCTCGAAGGTGATATTAGTTTGACCAAACTTCAAAATTGCGTAGATTCTTACCCCATCGACTTCGCCGATTTGGACTTATCTTTTGACTTGCTTTTGGCTCCTACGGTTCCTACTTTAAACTCAGGTCACTTTCCTCCTCCTCTCTTTTCGCTCATTCGAGTCGGCCTAGTCGCGTCTCCCCTCCTTTATCCGATTCAATAGAAAAGTCTAAGAGGGGTAGATCGAACCCTTTCTTTCATATGAGCCCCGATGAGATTGACCGCTTTAAAGTGTTTTGTGAGTTGCCTGAAGATAGGATTTCGTTGCCCCTAAGCCTTCCGACTCTTATAACCATCCCCCGGCCGGCTACTATACCTTTTTCAAGGATCAAGTCCGTCTCGGTCTTTGCTTCTCCGGTCATAATGATCTTTTTGCTCTTAGTCGTTCCTTTAGCATTCCCCTCAACCAGCTTCCCCCTAATGCTATTCGTGTGATGATTTATTTCGCCATCTTCAGTCGGGGCCGTTTGGGGAAGCTTGATCCCGATTTTTTCTTCAATAGCTACATGTTAAAGTTCAAAAGGGATGACGAGATCGGTTCTCATTATGTTAGTCATCGCAACGATGCCAGGTTTATCAGGGAGCTCCCTTCTAACATTCCTTCTTGGAAGTCGAAATTTTTCTATATCCGGCCCCCCTAACACCTTCTCTTTCACCTCGACATGGCGACACAAAAAGATTACCGAACGGAAAAAAGCCTCACAAATCTGCTCATTTTTCTTGGGGATTGATCGTCAGAGATTGGAATGAGAATCTAGTCGATGCTGTGGCCCTCGCGTCCGACGTGAGTCTTCGTCATTATGTGGGTTTGACCACTATGGGTGAGCCACTGGCCGACACCATAGGTATCTCGGTGCTATGTTATATGCTTCCCGTGCATCAGTTTTTTGTGTTTATTATGTGGTTTTCCGTTGCATATGTGCTCTCTACCTTTTGCCTTTTTGTGGGTCCTGGGTTGTATGTTGTCGGTCTGTAATGCTTATTTTGGACTGTGATGTATCTATCTTTGATGCTTGGACTATGATGTCTATATTTGTGATTTGTTGACCTATGTTGTTTCGATCTATAATATTGCGCCTCCGTGTGTACATGTAGGCTAGTTTCGAACTGTGATGTTTCGGTCTTGCTATTTTTCAATCATTGATGTGTCGTGCCACTTTTCGATTGTGACTATCTGATTTTTGTCGGTCATGCACATGGTTTGTCTCTTTGCCTTTGCATTAGGTTTTTATTTCGTGTAGTTGTTTGTTCTTTTTTTTTTGTATCGAGCTTCGATGTGTGATCTCACAAGCTTTCGGTCTCGGTTATTAGTTTATGATGTGTTTTGGTGTATGCTGCGACGGGTTACTTCATTGGTTTTCTTTATTCTTTTTAGATAATATCATTGTCCACGCTTCAACTAATAAGAAGCCTTCCGGCTCTTGCGCTGTCAAGGAGGATCGACCTCCTCGCATTGTTCCCCGACGTGCCTCGCCTCTGCCTGAGTAGTCCAGCCATCAGACCCGGTCGAGCCTCAAGTAGACACCACCTGGGGATGCCGGGTACTTCACCCCTGAGCGCCAAACGGCTAACCCTTCTGAGGTCGAGTCTTGCAAGCGGGCTTGAACGGCTCCGTCTTCTTTGGATGGTCACGAGGCTCCTCCGACCAACTTCCAGCCTACCGCCGATCCTGATCGCACTGCCTAATACTAGTTCTCGTGCATGCATGCGGTAGAGATGCGTCGGTATGAGGGGAGGCTTCGTCAGCGGGATCGCCAGGGCGTTCAGCAGCTTGCTCGGGTATCTTGCTTGTTTCTTTCCACGTGTTTCGATTTTTTATTTCATTTATTGTTGTTTTACTTGTTTTTTTGTTTTCTATGTGCAGTTCCTTTTACTGTTACCCCGATTCTGCCAGAGGGAGTGAACGATAAGCATGGTGCTGACCCTAAAGAGATCGAGCAGCTAAAACGACAGCTCGAGGAGGTTAAGACTCAACATGCGCAGACCCAGTCCATTATTGACATTTAGAGAGAGGATCTTGCCAAGATGCAGCAGAAGGAAAAGGTCATCATGGCTCGTGAGAAGGCTTTAAGAGAGCAGATCGAGCAGGAGAAAAAGTGGTCTAACGACGATAGAGCAGATCGACACATCCACACCTAATCTGTTCAGATATGCTCCTTGGGATTTTGGCACGATATCTTCCAATGGCAAGAGCGTCTTACATAAATTTTCTGCCAAGTTTCGACCGCCATGTCCAATCACACGAGAAATAGTTGGTCTGTGCGAAAGATTCTCTAGAGGACGTTTTTCGGCACAATGTCTTCTCATGCGAGAACACTTTGCTGATCACTCTTTTGCCTGCGACATGTCGATCAACATTTATTTCTGCAAACAGGCGATCGAGGTGATCAACATGAATGACATCGACAAAAACAACAAAGTAGATCTTCTTAATCATGCATATATAGATTAGCAAATTTTTTAGATATGTATAGTTCGGCAAAGTAACACATGTTTAGGTCGGCAAAACAACAAAGGAGGCACCACCAGGCGCCTCGAAGGTCGGCACGGACATGGACTCCTCAGTCATAATGTGCTGCTGAGCCCGTGATAAGAATCCTTGATAGGTGGTCGGCTTATTCTAGCACAATGACCATCTAAATCAATGTTTCAGATACTGTACCGTACCGGTCGTTAATACCAAATACCGATGGTTCGCCCGGTATGGTTATCCTCTAAATACCGTTTCGGCCAAAATACCAGTTTCATACTGGTTTATCAAACAATACCGGCCAAAATACCGGTTAAAATATAGGGTATACCAAATTTTTGTAAAAAAAAAATATTAACATATTTTTATTAATTTATTTATATAAATTGGAAGGTCTACGCTTGATTTTAATATATTTACATGTTACTATATTTTAGTTAATTATAGTATTTATTAATTTTATTTTTATACATTATTAAAATTATAATAATAGATTAATTTAATATTTATTAAGATCGGTAAAATAGAAAATAAAATCGGTTGAACCGCGTACCGTGGCTCGTCCGGTATAATTGTCAGTACGATATGTAAACATTGTATTCAACTTTAGACCCAAGTAGGCCGACACCAGCGCCTCATGGTGACACGGCTCTATGCTATGAACTCGCTCATTGAACATGGTGACATAGTCTTTGAGGCTCTCCTCGGCCCCCGAACTATATTTGTGATGACTACTTTAGAATCATGTAGACTTGGGACGTGATAAAATGAGATCGGAATATCAACTTCAGTTGTGGCCAGGGGGAGATAAAGTGGGGATAAAGAGAATGGTACCACCTTTGGACTGGATCCCAAGGTTAAGGAAAACATCATGCATCTAAGGGCATCTCCGACCCCATGCAGATCCATCCATGACGTGTAAAGCCCGATATGAGAGTCTGGGTCGGAACTACTGTCATAAAACACGATCTAGGGTTTTTTTGATTTTGTCCGGCAGGGGGCTGCGTAAGACGTCGGATGATAGAAGTGAGGTCGTATCAACGATGTGGTCGTTCGAAAACACTGGGGGCGATGAAGGTGTCTTGTCCCCGTATTTCTGCCGAGCCTCGAACTCGACAATTCTCTTCCTGAGGGTTGTCACCACGTTAGA